ACTGATGTTTGGTAATTACACAGAAGTGGTGTGGCTCAACCAACACAGAAGTCTTACAGTACTATGATGACATAAAGGTAAGAAGGTAGAGGTAGGAAGTCATCATTAATGATAGAAGGCTAACAGGAATTAGATTGACCGATATACCAGGAACCTACGTAACTCAGATAATCAGTTATAGTTCCACCTCATTGAGATATCTCTCTATGATTAATACTGTTGCAACAACATAGGTTCCTCTTTCATACCTTTCTTTAATTCAGAATTCACGGTTCCAGTAAAAACCTGCTTTGTATTCTTTGTTTAACCTATAATGGCAGATGATATTCAATAACCATGCTAATGCTGTCGGCTCAACCTGAGTTCACGGCTCACTCATTCAGCAAGAAATAAGCAGCGCCTTTGTGAATGCCAACACCACAAACAATGTAACATGATTGAGCTTTTAAACGACCTCCCTACTCAGTAAAAATCTGCTTGACCAAACAGTTTCAAAATATTTAGTTAAATAACAGTTTTCTACTCTTTAACCCTGTTTCCAGGAGAGAGCCCAGCTTGTTTTCCCCTCGTCCCCAGTGGGTTTACGGGAACCATGAGCTAGAGTATATTTCTGAGTCAGTGTGGGCAAACGTAAACAGCTGCCTTCTCCACTAAACAGTGGATTAGACCTACATGCTATCATGCGAGGCCTTGTCTCTTCCACTCAAAAAAGGTTACATTCATTGACTTTGCATGTGAGTTAGAACTCATTTGCTGCTTGTGTCATGCCTGGAGAATTAGCAGGATAAACATTTGAAAAGGGCTGTTTTATGTTTTTAATTTAGATTCTAACAACCTACTAGAATTGACACATGCAGGAAAACACACACAGAAACACAACAGAGTGGAACGCTTTCTCGTATCCAGCTCTCTTGGTCCTTCATCCGACTTGCCTGACCCGCCATTTGAGTGTTGACCTCTGGTATACACACTGTCTCCTATTGTTTATTTATTTTTATTTATTTTTATTTATTCTTATCTAACAACTATTGACGTCTGTAGGCACTTACAGGACTTTTCCCCAGCATCTTCCTCCACACTATGCTTAAACATCATTTTTTCCACTATTTTAAAAGTGTAATTGACTTCAGCATGCTATAATAATGTGCATTATGGTTTCTATGGGAACATGGTGATCTAAAAAAGTAATGAGGGGGGGCTCTCATGCCCTTCCTCCTTTCATTAACACGCATCATGGTCCCAGAAGAGAATTTTGATTGCTAAATACATGCCTCACAATGATGACACAATAGATTTTCTGGAAACAAGTAGAGTTTTACGAGGCCATCCCATGCCCTTCCCCCCCTATCCTGCTCTGAATCACAGAACAACCCCGACTCACCTGTAGACACAGCTGGCTTTTACCTAAACCCATCAGGCTCTGTTACGTCAATCCGTTACCCGTAACCCCCTCCCTCTGTCCATCTCTTGGCCAAGGTTTGGTAAAATGAACACCACAAAAACGATGCTTTCTGCTGAGAAGCTTCAGAGGTATTTCTGCCTGACTTGAAGTTACAGGCCGTCTGCTATTTGATGAGTATTCGTGAGCTGGTTAAAGCCCAGCAATGCCTGACATGACACTATAGCCTGGAGTTAGTCTACAGCACAATAACCACCTGAGACTAATATGGTCATAGCTGAGTCAGCAAGCCAGGCGCCAATATGGATGGAATGAGCAGTCTATCAGTCACATGTTGCCAAAGATAAGTCTGTCTTCACATCAGGATTGGAGTCGTCTTCCTTTAGACAGCCTAATGCTGATTACCAGATTATTGTAAAGCTGATAAAGATACTTTTGGGAAGTGAAGGTCCAGGATGAGTTAGATTCATGACAGGAAGTATCCAAATTAGACCTTTAATAAATAGGATTAAGCTAAAAACTAAAAGTGGAAGAGGAATACTACTTTTTTGAACCTATTTTTTGCTTTTTAGTTAAATGTTTCAGTTCTGGGTGGATTACTATAAGAAACAATACATCATAAATAGTTTGTAACATTGTGTTTTTGTTTGTTTATGTGTACAAAACGATGTTTCATTTTGAGTGAGCCCTTACCAGATTTGAATGTGGACCAGGAAACAATAATCCAATAAGCCCCTAATTACTGCAGAGATAAATAGACACAACAATTCACAACATGGAGTATTTAATCATACGTTGCCGCTGGATACCAGCTGTTTATAATGGAAATGTAAGGCTTATGAATCTGGCGCCCTCTCTGGAGAACTGGTGCTCAGCATGTGAGCCACTATTACTGAGAATTTCTCAGAAACCGACTGCACAATGCTGGACTGAATCATTACCTCATTGACGCTAAAGCAGAACTTCTGCCAAAAAAAGAGAACATATAATCAACCTCTATAGCTGTTTCTTAAACGCTCATAAACATAGGATAAATATTGTATTATTTAAAGTGTTTATAAGACCGTAAATAGACCGACGCTGTTAACAAAGATTCATAAGTATTGCTTGGAAAACTCCTCCTTAACTTCATTTTTGGAGGAACAGCGGGGGGAGGGCGCTTCTCATAGCAGGAATCTTTAACAAAAAAAACATGCTTCCTGACAATCTGCCAAGAGGGAGGCTTTCCTGGAAGCGGAGGCGGAGTCTACTCTCGTTTATAATGGCTCCTCGGCACCTAAGCTTCACTAGTAACTCACAGCACAGCAGGCAAGCACTCGGGCACATAGACACCGAGAAAAGTTATAAAAAGTCTGAAAATTGTTGCCAAAAAAAAAACGTTTGTATCATCCGGACAGACGCTGAACAGACATCTATCCATCGATTTTAAATTATTCTTAAAGAGCGAGTTTGGAGAAACATTAAAGGTAAGCAAATGTTTTTTTTTCAATACTTATTAACAATGTTTATGATAATATCAATTATGTTTTGAATGTTTATCTAAGTGAGTTTGTTGTGGTGAAGCCAGTAGGCCTATGCCGTGTAGATTGCCCAATTAGGATTACCATGTCTTTACTGGAACTGACTTGAGTCTCGAGGGCAGATTACACAAAAAAAGTTTCCCCGAAATGCCTGTAATTTACATGGACTCAATTAAGTCAACACGCTGTTGCAACCATGACTCCTCTTAAACACAGGATCATCCAGTTTGGGTCTTTTATTTAAAGCAGACACAAAAAGTCTTGGCGTCTGGAGAAATTTCCCCATCCTTAATATGGATGTTTAAACGCATGATGAAGAGAGCTTGCACATCTGGAAATTAAAGGTTTCCAGAGCTCAGGGTTCATATTGTATGTCAATGTTACACTTTTGAATTGCATTTGAATGTTTAGTGTCACGTTTTCCACACTGAGCTCACATTTCCTCTCTTATTTCCTTAGGTGTTTTGACAAACTGCCCTTCCACAACAACAACCCTTGCATCCTCTTTTGGACCCTACCTCTTTTTCTCTTGTCTGTGTGGCACCCAGTGCTCCCCAGGCTGCCTAAAGAGCGGGCACAGCGCCATGGTAACTTACAGCAAGTTTGACTCCGCAATGAGCAGCAGCCTCTTGGACTCCAGCATGCGGCTGCCTCAGCGTTTTAAAACGTTCACCTCCAAAACCCAGTATCAGATGGTCCTCACCACACTTCACAAGCTGCAGGAGAGTGGCTTCTATTGGGGGGCCATCACCGGGAAGGAGGCCAATGCCATGCTGGCGGCTGAGACCACCGGCACCTTCCTCATCAGAGACAGCTCCGACAACCGGCACCTGTACGCCCTCAGTGTCAAAACGGCGTCAGGCACCAAGAACCTTCGGATCCAATGTGACTCTTCCTCTTTCTACCTGCAAACAGACCCTAAGAACATTCAGTCTGTTCCACACTTTGACTGTGTCCTCAAGCTGATCCACTTCTACATGCCTCAGAGCAAAGTGAATGCTCGCAGTGGGAATATGTACTACATTTACTCTGGAGGAGAAAAGATTCCTCTGGAGCTCATCAAACCTCTCTCCTGTAACCTATCCACCTTGCAGCACTTGTGCAGGAAAACAGTCAATGGACATTTGGACATTTCTTCTAAAAGAGACCAACTTCCTCATCCCATCAGGGAGTTCCTCCAGGAATATGAGGCTCCTATCTAAAGTGGACTGATGCTCTTGAAGGGGCAAAGACTAAAAAGGAACCGTATGGTTTTAGTGGCAGCTTTAGTAAAGGACACACGCTGGTGGAATTAAGCAGAGAC